ATAATTTTTTCATACTCTTACTGTTTTTATACTGTCTTTATACTGTTTTTTTCTCTATCCACTTTGCTGCTGTAATATTGGAATTTCCCCATTGTGGGACTATTAAAGGAATATGTTATCTTATCTTACTCGAGCATTTGCGCATTCTTTGCGGACTGGTGATACAGAGCGTACAGCTTGGAGATGAAAGTTAACATAAGGCAAGTGGGCGTACAGGCTTGTAATAATGGATGTGTTTTGAGTAAGTCCCTGCTCTGAGGCACGCGCAAGCGAAATACTGAGAGTGAACCCTAACCCTAACCCCAAACTACGGTGAAAATGCTAACATGCTGTTAACATGTTTAGTGTCTATAATTTTTATCACGTTCACCGTCTTAGTTTATTGTGTTAGCATGCTAACATTTGCCAATTAGTACTTAACACACAAAGTATAGTTGAGGCTGATGGGAATGTTCTGCAACTAGTTCTCCAGGAATTTGGTCATCAACTTCCAGATTAAATGAAAAATCTTTTTTAACCCTTTAAAATGACATCTTTAGTTATATTATACCCCTATTTAACAATGTATGCCAACCAATATCATGACATTTACCTGTCAATCAATCTATATCATTTAGCAATACAACAGCATTTGTTAGAAAGTTAGCAACAGTATGGATTTCTACTGTAGCACAGTGTGAATCTTGATCAGATTTTATGGAGAAAGTATTGTCTGTTTTCCCTCTGACGTCCTCCGGCTGCTTTGCCTTATCTCAGCTAACTGCTAATGTAGCTCTAACCATTAGTGTGCAACGGAACGGGGCTCTGCTGCCTCCCATTGAACACAACCTCAGAGATAGACAGAGGCTAATTTTTCAACAGTAGTACTAATGTGGTTTATGGAGTTTACAGATGGAAGTGTTGCTAAAAGTAGTTAAGTTCTGCCAACAGTGATGTTAGATGCTGTTAGCTAATTAGCTTGTGCAGCTAACGTTAGCTGACTTAGGCCCAGGTTGTCGGGAGCCAAACCCGGCAAAAAAAACAGGGATAACTATCTGAAATGTAGGAATTTCAGTAGGAATTAAACCCCTCACCCAGGCTGTGTCACCGCTGTTTCCTATCAAACTACAAAGCACCAATATGCCTCTCTTCTACCTCTCCCCCTTTGTCCAGTGCCCATGTGGGCCGTAGGAGCCATTGTGGTCGTGGTCCTTGCCCTCGTCGCCTGCCTGGGATTCTGCATTTACAAGAAGTGCTTCAATAAGGCCAAGAAGCCCAAGAAGGTCCGTGAGAGGAAGGGAGGACGAGGGCGCAGGAAGAAGGACAAGGATGGAGAGGAAGGAGATGACAAGAAAGTAAGAAAAGATGAGGTAGAGGGGTTCCGTCCCGTGTATTCCTGACTTGGCATATGGTAATTCTGTTACTTTTGGTTACTTTTGTCAAAAATACACTCTTTCCCAAGTTAGAAGAGTTTATGGATTTGTTTGTCTGGCCGCCAGATGGAGTGAGCAACAGCAAGAGCTGCATTGTTGTTGCAGATGTTTGGCTTTTATCCAGGTTGAGACTAGTAATGAATGATGGACTCGTGCCCTTGTGATTGGACACAGCTTGGAGAGGCTTATGGCAAAAGGCATCACTGTGGATATATAGATTCTTACACAGAACTAAAAATCCATATATCCTATATATTCATAGGTATGTTTTCAATAGTGTAAATTCATGTGAAAATAAGAATAATTGTGTTTT